TGGTACATATTGAAACACATTGCGAATTGCGACCAGCGAGCGATACCAGACTGTGTGGTATCCAATGGAACGTATTGCAACTTTGCAACCCACAAGTGGGACCAACCTGATAAAACGTAGCAAATTGTGGGCCCCAATCGATACTGCATGGTATCTAACGAAACGTCTTGCGAATTGCAACCCATAGGCGTTACCAGATTGTATGGTATAAAATGTAAACAAATTGCGAGCTACAGGCGATACCATACTGTATGGTACATCACGAAACGTATTACGACTTGCGACTCCCAATTAGCGATACCACGCTGTATGGCCGAATAACGAAACGTATTGCGAATTGCGACCCATCGGCGATACCAGACTGTATGGTATAACACGTAACAAATTGTGGGCCACAAACGATACCAGACTGTGTGATATATAACGAAGGTAGGTAGGTAAAAACTTTATTTAAACATGCTTGCCGCGTCAACGTGGTGCTGATTTCCACGAGGGGCGTCACACAAATAATACAAAGAAAATAATTAAGTTAAAAAGTTACAATTTAAAAATATTATATACAACTATATACAAAAGTTAGATTGGCACATATAGCACAGAATCATCCTCTAGCTTGCACATATCTCTTTTTTGAAGCAGTCTCGAGTGTCCGCCGATTTAGCTGCAGACGAAAGGTCATTCCATAACATAGCGCCGCTCTACTTAAAGCTTCTTCTTAGATATTCTGTTCTAGGTTTTGGGAGAGTTAAATCATTTTCGCTATTTCTGAGATTGTAGGTATTTTGTGTCATATTCCTTTTGTAAAAAGATTCTTTTAGCATTGCGACACATAAGGCGATATCAGACTGTATGGTATATAAGGTAACAAATCTTATCGTGGGCCACAAGCGATGCCAGACTGTATCGTATACAACGGAACGCATTGCGAATTTATAATCCACAAGCGGAACCAACCTGTATGGTATAAAACGTAGCAATTGTGGGCCCAAAGCGATACCAAACTGTGTGGTATATAACGAAACATATTGCGAATTGCAACCCATAGGCGCTAACAGACAGTATCGTAACAAATTGTGGGCTACAAGGAATACCAGAATGTATTGCGGGAAACGTATCGCGACTTGCGACTCCCAAGCGATACCAACCTGTAAGGCTAAGCGATACCAGACTGTATGGTATAAAACGTAACCAATTGTGGGCCACAAGCAATACCAGCCTGTATGGTATATAACGGAAGACCTTGCAAAATGCGACCTACGAGTGATACCAGACTGTATGGTAACTCTTGTACCTTGTAAGCCCACACACAAGAGACAACATGTCACACGAGTTTGTTAGTTTCATATCTAATATTATTTGTGCTTAGCCCAATTCATCCCAAATCCCACTTTAAATTACTCGTGCAAGTTAAGTCACTACAGTAAGAGACTGCAATGATCTCTAACTATTTTTATCACAGATCAATCGAGCTGCCACACCATCAGTCAACCGATGTCCGTATAAATATCTGATACGCCTAACTGAGCCATCTGCCGATAGATTTAATTAATTAAGTGGTCAGGAACAACACCAGCCGACGCAGCCGTTGTAGCCGCTCCGATTCGAAGCTATGTCCTGAGTAGTTGCCCTCGAGGCCTAACCAAGCCGCTGAGTCGTGTATCCACGTAACTAATTGCTTGCGCGACAGGGGCTCGCCGTTCTGGACCCTCGCATTGGTCCGGAGCTAAAGGACTGCCGATGTCGAGTGATGTACCTGAAAGGCGTTGAGAGTTCGAGCAAACCATAGCACCAGCTGGGCCAAGTGTGAAAAAATCGTCAAGGTAATGCAAAAGATCGGCAACACGACAGTTGTGCTGTAAAATAGATGGGCAACCCGACAGCATCCCCCAACGAATTGAAGATCCCCGGGGCGCTTCGTAGACCAAAGGGTAGCAAGATCAACAAGATATTGTCCCCGCCATTTCATACCTAACAAATATCGATTACCTCGATAAATGGGGATAATACAGTACACCCTTGGGTGTTCATTTGCCCCTTAATGCCCCCTAACCAATCTTTACTATTACTCGGCTGGCATCTTGTACAGTACTATAAACTGCTGGAGATTCGTTTTTAGATCCCATTGTTCACGCTGTGGTCAGCTGGAAACGACATGTCTCAAATCAAACGCCGCGCGGTTTGTTTTTCTTTGGAATTAGTCCAAAGCGATTCTCGTGCAAATAAGACGCCTGCTCAGGCGCCCACACCGACCTGAAAACGACGACACACGTGCCGTGGTGCATTAGACAAGAATACAAAACGTGACACGGTGACTAAAGCCAAAAGCGTGGCGTGATCCCCCAGGAGACGCCCTCGCAATGCCCAACGAAACACAAGCATTACTCACAAATACAAACGCTATCCACAATGCACATGGTCCCTGAGCATGCGATGCGCCAACGCAAACAACACCGTCCACCTTCCGTGACTCCGCATTAACAGTGTAAAATTCGAAAAACTCAGCGATCCAGATATTGCATCATTCAGAGACGTTGCACGAAGAAAAAAAGAAAAAAAAACCCAACCAAAACCAACACCCAGTCAACTTCCGAGAAAGTGCAGAGTAGGATAAACTCGAGATCCAAAGAAAAACGCGCTAAAATTCGTTGACAAATAAATAAGTTGTTGGAGACTGACACCATTGGTCACTAATTGAATGGCCGCCATCTTGAAAACTGATCTGTATAGTAAACTGGAATAACTGTAACACTGGAAACTGAGCCTGCGATGCGCCAACGCAAAATCGACTTCTCGACGACGAAGAAAAAAAAAACCCGAAAAACAAAAGGAAAACAGGAAAACAGATATTTAGCGATTTAAGACACCTGACCCCTCAGGTCAATGTAATTAGGAAAAGGTGGCGTATCAAATGGATCTTCCACAGTTCGAGCCCGAGTTTCGTCTGATAAATATTTGTCCATGACATTAGGATGAGCTAAGGCCGACGAACAGTTGGTGGCAGCTAACCGAAGATGTAAAAATATCCCTGTGAAAACCCGTGCGAAGACCACTAACAATAAATTCGACCTCGAACAGTCCGGATGTGCGGCAAGTTGCAAATCCTGAACTTTAATAGGAAAATTGTCTATATACAACTGTGTTTAGGTGTTCGTGTTGACAGACATTTAACAGAACTAGACCAGGTGCAACGTTTGATTACGTTGCGATTGATCACTAACTTTACTCTGAATGCGATTGTGCTTCTTACGAAAGTTACGTTGTGCGGTCGGGCTAGGCATGTTTCTAGCTAACTCGTATTGATTTACCACTGCCGTGTGGTAGTTATATAAAGCATAACACCCCAAATGCTTAAATTATTAGCAGCGGAATCCGTGGTCGTTCTTTGCCTCTGAAACGTTTAGCTGTCCGAATGATCGGCGCCATGTAAACCCACAAATCGCGCGACCTTGACGTGAAAAGGGGTTGTGAGCACCGCCGTATAGCTATTATAAAGCATTCTACCCATTCTATCACCGCGTTCTTTTAATTTTATGCGCATTATGTTTCGGCACCACCGTTGAGCGCACAAAGGTAAACAGCTGGGGCAGCTCCGTTCGTTATATATATATGTTAACTTACACCGCCGAGCATGCTACTAACTGTGGGAATAGTCTGAGATTCCGCCTCAACATTAATACCGTCAACAAATGAACAACAAAGTTAACGTACCTGAACTCTGGCGAAGAGAACTATTGCCTACCTGACCGGGTTTTTTTTTACGAGCGAAATTTGTGGTGGGTTTCCCATCATCTCGAGTTGCGACGCTCCTTCCTTTGGTGCCCTGCCAGTACGGTTATGAACCTACGATACTGCCGTCTGAACTATGAAGCCCGATCACGAACTCTGGTGAAAATCTTTGTTCCTAATACGTTTACTACGCTTCCAACGCACAATGATTACTAATACCACCAATGCGCGGCCAACCTCTTATTACATACTCGCCCGGCCCCCTTTTGGTCACATGATGTGCCCACGTAACGAGGCTTGGTTCCCTAGCTGTTAACCTTTGTTATTGCATAACCTCATGTAAATAACTATCGTTTACATGCTTTTTTTCTACGTTGTTTGAGGAAATTGCATAAAAATGACATAGCAACCTTGTTTATTTCTATAAATTTCCATAATAAGCGTTGTTTCGCCTTGCGGAAGATATGCGACGAGTATTTACGTCTTAGTGTAAGCGCGCCGAACATCTTACGTCAATGCAATATACAGTTGACATAAGTTTAATTTTTTAAAATCACGTTGTAAACCAATTCATTTTTTGTCCATTTTCTTCTGGGCGAGGGTAGGTAGGAAATGATGCTTTAGTTTTCTAAAAAACATATAAAACGCAAAACATAAACGGACTATGTTATAATCTATATTTTTCCACTACATGTATTGCATTCATGTAATACGTATTAAACCATGAAGGTCAAAGTTAAGCAATGTATATTGTCCTGTGTACGGCTGCAATAGTGATAGTCAACTGAAGACAAATAGAAACGTTAATTTCTTTCGTTTTCCTTGCGGCAAAACGCCTGAGCTGTTAATTATCACGGCCAAAAATGGAAAAACACGGCTAGATAAAATGAACGCGGCTTCATTATTTATATAAGGCCGTGTAGGTTCATAAAATAAGGTGTTACTGCTTACAACAGACATAATTTCTTCCTATATTTACGTCGTAAGAAAGTTTGTAAAATCTACTGTAGTTGTTGAAATTGGCAAAACTGATCCGTGATGTTGTAATGTTTTGATGGATATGGTGTTACTGTAAAATGGTTTTAAATACCCCCAAGAGTTGCTGAAATAACTTAATATTTTAATGTCAGTGCACAATATGAGCGTATGCTCGCCTTGTATTTGGTTCCAAAGCATAGAACAACCACAGGCATTGTCTGTTGTTGGCGAGGCATAACTAGAACCGTGAATTTGGCTATTCAAGGTAATTGACATGTGCACACCTTGATCATTTAGAAACACGCCAAAGATCTAAAATCCTAGCTAAGACCCTAGGGCCCCCAAATCCTGATATTTACCGGCATACACCTAAATGAAGTGCTTTTGTAATTCTTAAAAGGGTGCAAAAAAAGGAGAGGATAAGAAAAGCAAAAGAAGAAGGACTGCCTGTTCCTAAGTCAAGGTGTAAGTTCATCAAAATAACAGAATGTTAAGCAGTGCTGGAAAAGTCCAGCAGCACTGCAACCAGGAATTTTTTACAAAATATCCCAGCAGGAAATTTTCTTGCATCTTACCATCTTATACTGGAATGCCATATCACTTACCTGTTGTTAATTTTAAGCGTTTTGCAATTTGAGGTTATTTTGATGCGAAATTGAAGTTAATCACAATTAATGTGCGGCCCCATACTGTACATTCTCTGAAGTCTACATATATGCAGGAAGTGTTATATTTGCCTTACACAGGGAATTTTTATTTTTCGATTTTGCTGCCAGGAAGATAAATATATTTTCTACGCCTGATGTTAGGTATAGTGTTTAGCCAATGAAAAGGACTCATCAGGGTTAACCATGCAATGTCATGGCCAATGCAAGTCAATAATTCCAAAGAAATACTATAGACGTCTACGGTAGACTAGCATTCATTGTTAAATAAAATTATCTCAGTCAGTAATCTGATTTGTTAAAATATTTGGTTGACATTCGCAAAACGTCAACTTTCCAGTTCTGGCTATGCTTTTTTAATCAGTTCCAGCCAAAACCGGAACACTTAAGGCTTTTGGAAAAAATAAGGCTTTTGCCTGGATTAACTATGGGTAATAATACTCTTTCAGGACTTGAAGAAATATGGTCTGACAAACCATTTTCTTTTTGGCAAGTCAAATGAATTATGTGGCCTGCAATTTCTGTTTTTCAAACTGCCAAAATGGTCCAACTCAGCTATGAAGGAAACAAATGTAAATTTTCCCCCTGACTTTTGTATATTTCAATCATTTATGTATTTGCCCTACCCCGGTGTTAATGCTTTGAAGGTAATTTAAGGATACTAGCATGTGATAAACAACGGAAATGATAAAAACAAATAATGTAGGATTTTGCCTATGTATGGCCTGCCTTTGTTCATTGGCAGACTGCTATTTCAATCTGAGAGCTGCTCTTTCAAGTTTGTACACTACCGTATCTCCAAATCTTCTAGCTATCAGAAGAAAAGGGTTAAAGAAAATGGACTGTGATGAAGCGTTACCTGTGAGAATTGTCATTGACTTGTCATTTGAAGCGTACATGGATGATAGTGTAAGTAACCTAAACTGGCTTATCATAAATTTTAAGTTTTGAAAAATTTCTGAATTAAAACTTCAGCGTGGTAGCAGGGGGTGGGGGAGGAGCCAAGGCAACTCCCCCAACCCCAAATAGATGATATTTTCAGTAGGGTTTACTAGGGGTGCACCGGAACTCGGTTCCGGCCGGTTAGTTCCGGCCGGAACCCCGATTTTTTAGAGTTCCGGTTCCGGCCGGAACTAGTAAAAAAAGCATGGCCGGAACCGGAACTCTGTTGTTTTCAGAGAGATAGAATATCAAACGTTTTTGTGTCTAACAAAAGGTCACAGTAGGAAGAAATTTGGACTACGCAAGGGAAATGTACACTACTAACACTTCATTATGACGTTTAACGCTTGTGAATCTTTTTATTCTAACATTTGCGAGCTCTCTCCTTTATGACTTGAAGTGTCTGCCTGTCTGGCAGCGGACAAAGTAAAATATGACTATATATCGCTTAATAAATTGGTTCCGGTTCCGGCCGGGGTTCCGGCCGGAACTTTTGGCCGGAACTTTTTTCCAGTTCCGGTCGGATCCGGTTCCGGCCGGAACTTAAAAACTGGTTCCGGTGCACCCCTAGGGTTTACATATTACAGCAATTGGCTAGTAAATTTGTGGCTCATATATGTCTCTATGTATCTAATGTATAAATAGTTGTGCATTAATGGTAGCCCCAGCCTTTTTTTAGCTCCCCTTCTAATTAGGGCGCTTCACCCCTCCTATTTTGTATGAAAGTCGTTAACCCTAACACCTAACCCCTGCCGAAACTCGCTCAGTAGTGCCACTTATACCCCACTAGAAATTTTTCCACCACTCCTTTTAAAAAAATGAAAATCCGCCCCTGCTGACCAGATTGTATTCAGCCAATTAGCCCCCATCATGTATTGATTAAAATCATTAAATCATTCTCAATGTAAAGGGGCGAAAAATTGAAATTTAGAGTCTCTGAAACGCCATTTCATGCCCGTTGGGAGCACATTTACAGAATTGTGATGGTCAGAAAATGACGTATATTAGATTAGCAATTTTTAAAGATTCCTCATACCTAGGTTTTATTCTTATTACTCAACATGAAATGAATGCATTTTTGCCCCACGAATTATTTAGTATTTGGTAATTTGCCCTACAAAATTGCCATTTTCAAACATTAAGGGGGGAGGGTCACACCCAGGGACCTAGCCAGGATTAGCAATCTACCCGTCCAAAAATGTTGGGCTATGCAGGCATGCCCCTTCCCCAAAAAAGTACATGTGTCCGTTGGAATAAATTTGACATCAGATCTTTATCTTCTAAAAACGTGATTTTTAGCAGTCAAAAGAGCACGTGTAAAATTGCACTGAAAGCTGAAGAGCAAATGGCATGGTTCACCTCACGAACATAATCGCCGACGTTTTTGTTAAAATCGACTTATTAATATACTATATATTTCGCTAATACATATAGGGATGTGTAAAGCCCATGGTTACACCCCTCTAACCCCCAGGATTTACATCCCTGTAATCATTTATATACTGTAACGTTCACAGACGCAGTATGGGTAATACCGCTAAATTATGGCTGTTTTCAGAATAGTTTTCTGGGCTATACTATTTTTAACAGAACTTCGTTTTCTGCGTGGAATATCAATTGCTATGGCTAAATGGCAAATTGTATGAAAATTTCTCCAAATGTTTCTGAAAGTTTCAAATAATGATTCTATCACTCAACGTGAAAACTTATTTAGGGACCGGTCATTATTTATGGCAGGGGGGAGGGGGGGGGGGG